TCTCTCTCTCTCTCTCTCTCTCTCTCTCTCTCTCTCTGATCCCCCCTCTCTCTTCCTCTCTTTCTTCGTATTCATGTATAGTAATCCGTGTCTTCCTCTATCTGTATATTATTTTTATTTTCTCTTTCCGTTTTCTTATATCTCTCTTCCTTTCTACTTCTTTTTTGTTGTTGCTTTTTCTCTTCGTCTCTCATACCCCCTTTCTCGTCCTCTCAGACTCTGTCTATCAACAAGTGTAGTATCTATCTCCTGTTTTTTTCCTGTCAAACTTTCTCTCTTGCTGGTATTCATACTTTGTTCCCCCCCCCCCCTTCGTAACGGCCTCTCTTCCAAATTCATCCCAAACTCTTCTCATGTATCCTTATGATTGTTTCTATTTTTTTCTCTCTTTCTCTCTCTATGTTTAAACATGTTTAAACTGAAACTAATCACCTGCCTGGCACGACACCACCTCTTTTGCTCAACATGCATTTCGTTCTTTGCATATTTACTTTCGCGAGGGGCGTCCTTCGTAGGCCTTACTTCCTTTCTACTCCTCTGTTGTTTCTGTCTAACTGTCTTACATCCTTCCTGCACTACTCGACAGTTTTTTGTGGATGTGCTTCTCTTTTCTCAAACTCAAAATCATTTACTTCATCAACTCCATAACATCTGGTTTCTAAGTATAACTGTTGTTTCGGATCGGATGGTCACGATTGCCCAGCCTGTGCCAGATCTTCCTCAACAGCCGTTTGATGCCCTTCTTTACGGCAGTATTGCTGAAATAGTAGACGAACGGGTTGACAGCCGAACCGAAGTACGCCAGCCAGATCCCCGCCCCAATCACTGGGTCTGGCACGTTCTGAGGCCCCACGTACGGCATGATCAAAATGGTGATCCAATATGGCGTCCATGTGACCGTGTAGCAGATGAACACAATGGAAATTGAGCGAGCTGCTCTGAAGTCTTCCCCTAAAAAGCTGAGTTTGTAGCCAGAGATGGAACGCTTTTTCGCTGGCCTGTATTTGCGGTTTTTTAACTTCACCCGCTTTGTCTGACTGACGTCAGGCGTCGTTGGACGACTATTTGCACCATTTTCTTTTTGAAAGCTAACAGAAGAGTTGGATTGAGACACGGTGCCGTTCACGCCAGAAGATATTGAAAACTCTGGAACATTGCAAACACCCTGACCGTTTTGATCTCCTTCCTCCACATCAATGTCATCAATGTTGTCGCCACTGCTGCACGATTCAGCATGGTCCCTTTCACAATCGTCGATAATGAAAGATGTGTTCGCCGAATGTTCTTCCGGAAGTACCGGCATTTTGGTGACATCAACAGAAGGTCTATGGGGGTGGGCGCCATTTTGGACTGAATCTGGCTGAGTGAGGGAGACGACTGCAGGGTCCTCGGCATCACTGTAAGCACCGAGAGTGACCGAACTCATTCGCTTCCTCTGGGCTTTGGACGCTCTGAGGACAAAATGAGAAAAAAACCCAACAAAGTTATCATTAGACCTTCTATCGCATAACTAAAGCACAGCTAGATAAAGTATAAAACCAACCATGTGACCGAGAAAGCTATGGATTTGATACGTCAAAATGAATGTGAAGTTCGAATCCTCAAATGGATTAAATCACATTTCTATTCTACCCTGGGATATTTGTTGTATACCTGGTATTCAGAGTGCTGTCCACTGATTTTGAAAGGACCTAAAATAAGATTGTTTTACGGAATGTTAGTCTTTCACAACAGAAGAACAGAACGACTTGTTATGTTTCTCAGGCTGCACAACCCCCCACTCACCCCCATCAACTGATAACATTAGGGTATTCAATACCACCCCC